CTTGGTTGAAAACCCTTTGTTGGCAATGACTGCCTGAAGTCTTGAACTCATGGACATAATTAGACGTTGTGTTTCCTCCTTTTTAATGCTCTGCCAGGTCTTCACTGCAGCGGTTTTCAATTTTACTCTTCAAGTTTACTCTTTAACAAGTCAAATGCTCAATTGGATTGAGATCATGTGACTGACTTGGCCATTCAAGAATATTCCACTTCTTTGCTTTAATTAACTCCTGGGTTGCTTTGGCTTTATGTTTTGGGTCATTTTCCATCTGTAATATGAAACACAGACCAATCAGTTTGGCTGCATTTATCTGGATCTGAGCACACTGTATGGCTCTGAATACCTCAGAATTCATTCGGCTCCTTCTGTCCTGTGTCACATCATCAGTAAACACTAGTGACCCAGTGCCACTGGCAGCCATGCCCAAACCATCACACTGTGTCCGTCTTGTTTTACAGATGATGTGGTATGCTTTGGATCATGAGCTGCACCATGCCTTCACCATAGGTTTCTCTTTCCATTTATCTGGTTGAGTTTGATCTTGGTTTCATCTGTCAAAAGAATGTTCTTCCAGAACTGTGCTGGACTTTTAGATGTTTTTTTTCTTTTTGTTGTTTTTTTATCCTTTTGTAAAGTCCAGTCTAGCCTTCTTACTCTTGAGGCTTTTAAGTGTCTTGCAGCGTGCAGTGAACCCTCTGTATTTACTTTCATGCAGACTTCTCTTTATGGTAGATTTGGATATTGATACTTCTACCTCCTGGAGAGTGTTGTTCACTTGGTTGGCTGTTATGAAGGGGTTTCTCTTCACCATGGAGATTATTCTGCCATCATCCACCACTGTTGTCTTTCGTGGACATCCAGGTCTTTTTGCATTGATGAGTTCAGCAGAGCTTCCTTTCTTTCTCAGGATGTACCAAACTGTAGATTTTGCCCCTCCTAATATTGTAGTAATTCTTGCATGGTTTTTTTCTGTTTTCATMGCTGCTTAATTAAGAATGATATCATGAAGGAATTACCCACACCTGTCCATGAAATAGCCTTTGAGTCAATTGTCCAATTACTGTTGGTCCCTTTAAAATCAGGGTGAACACAAGTTAAGGAGCTGAACTCCTCCCTTCATCCAGTTTTCGTGTGGATACCCTCGTGTGAAAGCTGAAAGTCTGAACTTTATGTCCATGTCCATTATATAACTATAACTTGAATATGTTTCAGCAAACTAGTAAAAAGAGCAACGTTTGTGTCATTGTCCAAATAGATACGAACCTAACTATAGATAATATTGTTTTGATATCAATAAAATAAGTTGGGGACAGTGAAATAACCATGATGTCTTTTTGAAAATGTTTTTTGAATCCCAGCCAAACATATAGTAATAAGTAAAGACAACACTGATAATTTTAAATAAAGTATATTGCAAAATACAAGTTTGAAAAGAGAGTGTTTATGCAAGAAGCTGATTTTAATATCAGCCACAAATAAAAAAACTTGCAGTAAAAGGCTCCTCTGTGTGAACATATATACAATGCAAGCTTATGGTAAAAACTCGCAGGTGCAGATTGTTTGACTGAAGACACTGGTTATTGTAAAGGTTCATGGACTACTGAGTTCATGCCCAAGTGGTTCAGTTTTAATGTGATTGTGATTCGAATGTGTTGCGTTTGAACTTTAATTTGCAGGTGTGAAAAGCTCAAAACAGTGTTTTAATTGAACAAACACTTTGGCAAAAATGTTCAGTGGGAATTCAGTGCATTACAACAGTGTGAGCCATGAGGCTGTCGTTTGACAGAGCAGGATTTTAATGCTAAGGAGAACTCATTACAACATAATAAGGCCAATGAATATTGTAGGTCTGGACTCTTTTTGAACCAGTAGAAAAGAAAAGAGCAGCATAATGGTWATGTGAGCCTCACAACTCCATCAGCTAAGATGACTGGAGATGAAAAACTGAAGCTTTCTACTGTATAGATAAGATTCCAGACTGGTTTGTGTAAATTGTTGCCCCAGGTTTTGTCTCCTAAAGTTTGAACACTGTAGCTTGAGAATTGTTTGACT